TTACAGGGCCCTGTTTCCTTTGTCTGAGTTCGGAGATCCTGGCCACGCATATAAACCATACGTCTCCGATTTCGGAGTCCCCGGTAGGTAGTGGTTAAGCAATGATGAACCAAAGGGGAAATATTCATATATGTATGCAAGAGTCAACTCGTTTCTTTTCAAAATGACTCTGTAATAATTGTGAAATTTGAGTTGATTACTCTACTCATGCACTAGCATTCTGAACCTTTTAGTTTTGCTTGTGTAATTCCTTCGATTTATATTTATTTTATTTTTCAAAGTAAATTGACAATTACCTCCGGTGTAAAGTTTGTCTTCAACATAGAAAGCAGGGCCATTGTCATTTTCATCCTTAACTGTAACAGTAACAGGCAGTAAGGTGTTGTCGTCTTCATTGTATGGAATTGGAGCTACTGGAATGAAATCCTCATCACTTGTCACCTTGACAACCAGCATATGAGTTTGGTTTTGTTCACGGTCTAGTGGTTTCTGCAGGGAGAGCTCTCCAGAAGTCTTGTCGAGTTTGAATGACTCCTTGGCTTGTTCTTCACTGTTTCCATCTTTATTCACAATTCAAAAGAAAGAATTTTTAGCGCAAGTCATCCAACAATTTCAACAACAGCACCAGCTGAATATCCCCCTTATGTGGGTGGGTAAGGGTTCTGAAGATACTGCAAAAATAAGTTTTTCTTTAAAGCAATGTCACTTTAAATGAAAGACTTCATGAAATCTGCAAAAGCATTAAATGCATAAAACAGGAGTTTGAGGCAAAAATTAAAGAGAGTATTTAGCCCAGCACAAATTTGTCAGAATGTCATGTTTTAAATCAGTTAACATGCCTCTCTCTGTTTTTTTCTGTTGTGATTTAAATCTTTGTGTGGGGCTCACTGTAATAAAACCCACACTGCAGGCACTCAACCGTCCAATCACACACAAGTTTCCGATAACCTCCATTTTCCTATGGAATGGTTTTGTTGTATTCTGAGGATCCTTTGAGTTTTATTAACATGTTGGAGCACTCGAGCTGAGACTTGGCACTGGGTTATCTTACCAACGATGAAATAGTAGATATGCCAATTTTGAGGTTCATCAGCGTCAGCAGCGAAATCTACAGAGCCAATTACTGCAGAGCCATCATTCTCCAAAACACTAAATTCCGCCGCTGGTTTATTGGATGGATCGGTCTGTTCAACAAAAAAAAATCACTGTTTGTTAAAAATATATCAATTAGTGGACTCATTACCAAAAACAAACCCTTAATTGATCATGGACTGTACATCTTGTAACTATGCAGGTGCCTGATGCAATAAACTTTTAAAGACTCAGTAAGTGCATAACTTTGATTCCAGAGTTTTGTTCAAGGCAAATTGTATTGATGTGCTTCAAATGCAACATTCTACTACCAAGGAATTAAAACGATAGGGAATTGATACAAAAAGGTGAAGTATCTGAAAGACATAGTTCTAGTTAGTTCTTGATACAACTCACCCAGAAGAGTGGTTCATTGTCATCTGTGTCGTTGACTTGGACTGTGAAGGAGATTTGGGATGCAAGTGGAAATGGGCCTCTGTCTTTCACTTCGACCTTCAGCTGATGTCAAAATAAATCCATCAAAACTTTAGTAGTTTGTGAGAAAGAAACTTGTTCAAGAGACACGTCAAGTTAGCAGTACTCCTAGCAGACCTCTTTTGTTCAGAGTCAGGTCTCAAAGCTTGGCCCAGGCTGTTAGGCATTAAGGAATTCTCCTCTTATTTGCTTAATGGAAGAACAGGTGGCTTGTTACCAGGTCAAGTGGACCTGACTGGCAGGACCCCATATTGTTGGTTGGACCATTGCTTGCCAAGATGAATGAATGTTCACTAGACCAACAAGTTGTCCTCACAGAATCTCTACCAAAAAATAACAACCTGATGCTGGTTACTTACTTCATATATCTCCTTGGTTTCTCGGTCAGTTACAGTATGAATGTTTATTGCAACTGTGTAGTTATCCACCTGGATCATATCAAAGTATTTGCTATCCAGGCCGTTCTCACCAACAGAATCAATAAACCTGAAAAAGACGTCTCCATTAGGTCCGGAATCTGTGTCTTTTGCAGTAACATTCAACACAAATCCTGTGTAATTCTGAAATAAAATTAAAACCAGCAAGATTCAATGAGGGTGCAATTATTGTCAAAAAAATGCGATAACAGGACTCCAGCTTATTACAAAAGTTTTCACATGGTAAGGCTTCATCTCTGGAAATTGAACTGATGGGATTGTATGCAAAACACTCTTCTGACACAAATTTGTGACAGCATGCACCCACCTCAAGAATGTAGAAAACATCAAGATCTCTGGGGAATATTATTTCTGGTGTGTCGTCATTTACATCTGTGACTTCAATTGCCAGAAATAAGGGTTCTGATTTCAGAGGTGGCATCCCTGCATCCATGGCAACCACATGCAAGTTGTAAACACCAACTTCATTGCTAAGGCTTGCAGCTGTACGAATTACTCCTCCACCTCTTTCTGTGGTGATTTCGAAAAGTCCTAATGACAAAATAAAACAAGAAAAATACGATAAAATTGAATACAGTAGCTACCGTCTTGACACTGATATATTTATTTCAGGATGTATTCCTGTGACAAATAATTGCTAACATATTGTTGGCAACCACGTGATTATGTTTATCTCTTCTAACATATTGTTTTTACAAATGTTCGCTTTTCTTATCATGAAGCAAGGGCACATTGTCCATGCCATGCAGCATCTTGCTTGTTTCATGGAGTTGTGGTCAAATTTGTCACTTTGTCATCTATATTGGGCAATATCTTAAACATGTTTGGCATAAATTGTAATGTTTCCATTTCCTTGACCAGTTCAGGCTGGAAGATCGATGAGTAAAGTCTTCACTGTTGATATAATAAAGTGGAGAACGTTAATAGTAATTGACGTATCACTATGTATCACTAAAAAATAAAGTTACTGAAAGAATTACCGAAAAGATATTGTACAAATGATTGTTGGCAGCGTGTATTTGTGGTGCTTGAATATAAAAGTTTGTACATACAGGTGTAGCTCCTTTGTTAAACGATGTGTTTTGGGGCACAATGTAACACTGCCTAGAACTTGTTTATTGTGAAATAATAAAGTGGTTACCAAAATCAATGTGATGAAAGTTTGTTGGCTTCACTTAGCCACGTAAAGAAACTAACAAAATCACACTATGTTTATTACGTCAGTTACAAGACCTAACTGGAAAAGGGGAATGTACCTGTACCACAGTTGTATCCATTTCTCATTACACGGGGCTTAGTTACATAATATAAACCTCTGAAAGTTATTTTAATAATATTTGCATTTTCTAAGCAGACAAGATTTCAAAAATGGACAGAGGAGACTTACCGCGGCTATTTCCTGCAGAGATGTCATAGACCACTTTACTGTTGTTGGTGTTTGGTTCATCCACGTCTGTGGCAGTGAGGGTTGTCACTAACTGTCCAACATCAACACTTTCTTGAAGAAATAACTTACCAGGCTGAGAGGTGAACTCAGGTGGGTTATCATTAATGTCCAGGACTTTGATTGTCACCTGAAAAGGTTAATAATGAGAAATACCGAGCAGGGTGCTATGTTATACTGTCATTCATGTTATTCAGAAAAGCACTTGGAGTTAGAATTTGATAAAAGGAGTCATTTTGGCATTGTAAATAAATTAACAGGGTGGAATCTCAATAACAGACAAGAACTATTCCTCTTTGTCTGATTTGCAATTGAAAAATTTTCGTTTATTCAATTTCCAGCATAGGACAACTGGGACAGTCTGTATTGCTTATTAGCGACACTAACTGCAGTTGAATCTACTGAGATGTATTACTTGGAAAAATATATCTACCTGGAATGGAATAAGCAGATCTATTAGATGAACCCTCCTGCCAAATATAACACAGTGTATCAGGTATGCCACTACAAACAAAAGTAGACTAAATTACCACTGAGACAATGGAAGCCTAGTGCATTGCTACTCGTGTGGTAGCTGGGAACAAGGGATCTCATTAAGGCACTTAGCCTTTGGGATAATTGACCTGTTATTGATGAGTTTGACAGGGTTTCTAGCCAAAATACATGTGTAACTTGAAGGGTTAGGATTATTACATATTGGCCAAACATTTCAATGATTAATTTGTAAACATGACGTACCTGTTTATTTGCTATTCTTTCTCCATCGCTGGCAGAAACAGTCAGCCTATATATTTCCTCCTCCTCTCGATCAAGTTCTTTGTCGTAACAAATCATCACATCACCCTGGTATAGAAAACATGCCATGTTCTCATATATCATTTGTAGGAGACTTACAGGACCAGTTCATATTGCATTATCTAATGCTGGGAAGAACTGTTGTAATATGTTTGAACCATATGTAACAGTTGATTATTCACATCACGGTATAATTTTTTGTCGCAGAATACTTTGTAGAAAGAATTGGCAGGCTAACCGTACTTGAATACAAACATATGCACAAACCCACACATTTCAATCATTCTTGTTTGGAAGTTTTATAAGAGTGAATGGCAAATAAATTATTAGCACAACTGAAGCTGTTTCTCAACCTAAGATAACAAACACTGCAACATAGTAGCAAGTACAGGTAATAACCACTGCTACCCTGTAAGTCACCTGACCTTTAGTGGGTATAAAATACACACTAACATTGTGCCCTCTCATACTAATGAGTGTTTTATGTGTTGCTTACCAAAAATAAGGCCAAATTTTGGTATAGCACTCGGCACATCAGTAGTCGGAGTACTATACCGATGGCCAGCTTTATTTTGGTTAAATGACACAAGGGGGACACCCGTGTTTGTTGATGTTTGATACCCACTAGGTCGCATGACTTACTGGGTTGGACCGTTTGACAAAAGAATACAAAGTATGACTTCATTTTGAGCTAGGACCTGTAGTGTAAAAGAATGGAGTATGCATCCATGGTGGTTCAGGCTTTGGTTTTGTGCTAATGCCTTTTACACTCATAATTGTGCACGGTGACATATTTACTTTGGTACTCTATAGCACCACTGTCAAAAGAAGGAGTTGAGTGAGACTTATTACCCACACTGAGCCAACATTTTTTAAAAGTCCTGAATGTTAAACATTTATAAATTTGAGATGACTGGCCGGGGGGGAACTTGTTACCTCAAATTCATCAACACAGAATATGTCATCTGGATTTCCGGCGCTGATTTCATATGTTACACTGCCAAATTTCTCACTTCCATCGGCATCGGTAGCAATAGCCTGGAGAATGGTTGTCTGGTTTTTGAAGTTCTCAGGAATTTCAGCCTCGTAGTTCATACTTGTGTTAAACTCTGGGTCGTTGTCGTTGATATCATTGATGATAATCACAATAGTTGCATCGCTTGAAAGTTCTGGGTAACCTTTGTCAAATGCCACCACCAAGGCAGTGTAGTTTGGATATTTTTCCCGGTCAAATGTTCCATTGACAGAGAGAGTTCCTTTCGAGAAAGAAGAAATCAGAATCAAGGCTGGAGTATTAGGTGAGAAGACTGAAAAGAATCTCCATGCATCTTAGAATCAGCCTTAGGAATAAAAAAGCCTGTTGTAAGTATCAACACCTGATTTGCTGAACAATCTTATTTCTGAATTCTGGATTTTTGCCCTGCCCGGCGTGTATTTTTTTCTTTTTTCGCAAGCCTTCGGGGGCATACACTGAGTATACAGTGTTAAAAAATACACGTCGGGCAGGGCAAAAATCCAAAATTCATTTCATCTCCCCGGCAAAAATCCATCTTTGAAATAATCTTATTTTGTAAGAGGCATCTCTCTAGGAAAGACAGACTATAGCTTGTGACTGCATTCTACTAGTACACATAGCACACCATAATTTGGGTGATAATCAAAGATCATATAGCGCCGCAAAGTGGCGCAAGATGGCGAACTTCACCGTAAATACACGTGAAACGTTGTAATCGCATAGGTGCCATTTGAGCAAGCGATACGCCTGCGCAATGCACATTAAAGCACAGGCGCAGCAGCGGGCATGTGCACCTGGTGAGCCTGCGCCCAAGCATTACCGTAAACTACACAGGCGTATCGCTCGCTCAAAGGAGTCCATGGTAATTACATCTTTTGGGCAGAGTTATTCATCTTACACCTTCGGCGCTATATGAACTTTGGTGATAATTAGGGTGTAATTAAGGTTTATCTGTAAGTACCTGAAGTTGAGTCAATCTTCATCAGTGAATCAACATCATCTGCAAGTCTGAATCTGATCACAGCATTGTCACCTTGGTCCTTATCCGTTGCCCCAATGCTAGTTGATATGACAGTGTCTACAGCCGTGTTTTCTGTCACTGTAAACTGATAGTTTGTTTCACTAAATTCTGGGGCATTGTCGTTGATATCCAAAATGTTGACTATCAGTGTTACTGCAAATTAAAAAGACATATTTATTATAATAGGGATTACCTAGTCATGCACATGCGTGGATTATTTGATGATTTGAGCCTTGAGACATTTCATTTCTCAGGTAACCCCCTGTCTTTAAGGAGTAATGGCCCCAGGATAAATCATGTTTTATCTTTTCTGGCTACTGTACCCTGAACAAAGATTTTGCATGTGGGAAGAAGTAGGGCTCAGCAGGCAGAGCACTGATATGGTGTTCTGGAGGGTACAGGTTCAAATCCCACTCTAGTCATTTTTTTTGTTTATCTCTACAAATGATATGCAAACATCTAGTCAGTTTCTCTATATGGTTTGTTTGGCAGTTGAAATAAATTTGAACAGCTACACGTAGATTAAAATTCTACATACTACTTGCAAGTTAAATAGTGTTTGAAAGGTACACTGAAATTGAGGGGTGACATAAAGTTGTAGAATTGAACAAGCATCAGCTATTTACTGATGATCCACATGCATCATCTGTGTACAACAGTGCCAACACGGCCTTGCACAAGTATACACCACTTTTAATGAGCAAATTCTAAGCATGGAGACTTATGCTGAATGACTTGTAGGTTAAATTTCTTATGATACAAAGTATGTTCAATAGAACAAACCTTGGTTTTCCTGATCTGTACCCTGCTGTCCATTCAAATCCTCCACAGTTATTTTAATATCAAATGTGGCTACTACTTCTCGATTTAAAGTGTCGCCTGTGAACACTTCTCCTGTTTTGTTGTCGATCCAAAAATTTTCTCCAAAGCTTCCCGAGACATCGTTTCCATCTTCATCCAAAGCTGCTACACTGATAATGGTATATGACAGATATGCTGTTTTATCTGGATCAACTGCTGTAACTATGGTAACTGGTGAGTTCACCGTAGCATCTGGATATAAAAAAGAATAAATGTATGTGTTGAGTACTTCGAAAGAAGCCCAATGTCATACAAAGGTAAGGTAGTCCTTCATTACCAAAATAATAGTATTTATTTGTGAAAAAATACTGATGTTGTCATATGCCTTTTGTGGATTGATCATGGCCCAGACATTACCCTAAATTTATCATCAAAACTTAAATTACCAAATATCAAGTGAGAAAGCTGGAAATAAAAGTTTGTGTAGAAAATTCATTGTTTTAGGAGGCATCATTTGGAAATTTCTGTCAATATTATTGTTAATGAGGCACTGAATTTCAACTGTTTACTTAACTTTGAAGCTTCACAAATTTCATCAAATGTTAAGCAACTGACAAGTATAGAAAAATTACAAAATCATCACAACTTTCCTGGAAATGAGAATGTAGATGACAACAAGCATGCTATATGTAAGCTGCTTTAACACAGATACCTACTTTCATATATCTCGGCTGTTGGGGCTTGGTCTTTGAAGATAGGAGGCTTGTTGTTGACATCAGTCAAAGTAATGTTAACATAACAAGTGCCATTTCTGGCAGGTTCACCTCGGTCAATGGCAATTACTTCTAAAGAATAATTCCCCTGTATGTCCCGATCCAAGTTGTCCGAGTTCACAGTGACCTCCCCTGTAGCGATGCTAAGGCGGAAGTCAGAGACACTATCGACAAAGAAGTAGTCGATACGAGAGTTCACAGTGTTTTCCTGGTCATCGTCTGTGGCACTCACTTTGAGGACCAACGCTGTTATGGCCACAAAAAAGAAAAGAAAAAACTTTTATCTTCAAAACTCATTCACTTCTTTGACATTCATTAATCCTAACAATCAGTTGAAGAAGTCAGGTTGCATTTTGTTTGTATAGTATAGACTTAACCTTTCATCTCAAAAACCTGAAAATCCCAGTAGTAGAATGTGTATTACTAGAGTTACTATTTTGACCAATAATTCATAAGATTTAAACTTCAAAATCTCCACTTTCTCTCCCTCTTACAGGCTTCAGTTGTTAGTTCAAAGCTGAGAAGCTCTACATAGTTCCATATAGCTCCATTTCCCAAAACATTAGCATCACACTGCCAAGGGTTTGAGTATCTTTAGTATCACAAGGAAGCATTTGGAACTGTTTTTGGATTCCTGAATCTGTTGTCTGAGATCAAACTGAGATTTGAAACATGCCCAGGTTTTGAGGGATTCTTTGCCATACAGCGCCCTCTTGTCACCATGCACAGCCTCATTACATACTTCCTCTTGTTGCATCTTCTGACACATTGCCATCATAGACTTTCTCTGTGAAGATCGGAGATTGATCATTCATGTCCTGTTAGATAAAACAGTGGCATAACAAAGACTTACAGTGAACATAAATGTGGTAACATTGCTAAAGATCACATGTCCCAAGTAATTATACACAGTATGTGAATGACAAGTCTTCCCAAAAGACATGTATCCCACCACCAGATAGGAACAAGTTTGATTAGGGACCTTAGTTAACCATAGTCTGACCTACTCCAATTGAATACATGCTAGTTGATGATGGTTGGACTAGTGTAGTTGGCTATTTACAACCAGCCTACTGAGGTTGACTGAGTCACTGGTTGCCATAGCAACATTGCAGAGAGGACCAGTTACAAGACAAAATGCCAGAAAAACAGAAAATGGAAATAGATGTACGTCACATGTTAATGATAAATTTGAATTTTCTATTATTGTTTTGCTCTACCTACAGCCATTCTTTATACCCATGGGCCTGCACGACCTGACAAATGGTTGATTAGAGCCATTCAGGCTTCAACTTCACCACACATACGCTAAGAGTGTCACAAACCAATCACAGTTTAACTACTGGCCCTCGATCAAACCCAAGCTGAACTTCACTTATTACCCTCATGGTGAGGTGATAGTCTTCCACAATCATAACAACAATGCTGGGGTGACGTAAAATTACTTGTCCTTGCTCATATTTGTAATCAAATGTTTAAGTATATCTCTAAAATTTGTCACTGCTAAGGATCCAGGGTATGAGATCCAACTTTGACTATGGGTGTGCTTTAAAGCTGGACCTACAAGAGTGTAGAGTAGTGGTAAGGTTAATCTGGAAGTTTGATGTAAAAGACTGATTCTTACTTGAATTCTAACAATAACTGTTGCATTAGCTGACTGTGGTGGACTCCCACTGTCTGTAGCAACAACAATCAACTTGATTGTCGGTCCATCTTCTTCAAAGTCTAATTTCTGAAGTAATTTGAGCTCTCCAGCACTGGAAATCTCGAACCTCTCCGAGTAGGAATCATTGAACAAGCTGAAGGAAACCTGGTTGTCTCGATCACGGTCAGTGGCCTATTAATAAATCAATCAAATGAAACATTTTAAAATTGTGTTACTGGGTTGACATTTTCTAGGTTTCCATTTTCCTTAGGTACCATTATGTTTAATTCAGTTTGAATTCCTTGTCCCATTTTTGATGACTTGTAATTTTTGCTTACAATGAAGATAATTGGAAAATACTCCATGACTGAGACTCACTTTATCAAGCAACAATAGTCCTAAAACAAAATAGCATCAAGCTTTCTTTACATGTGTACTTTCCTGCGGGGACTGAATAGATTGTGTCCGGCCTCACTGTCAAAAGAAAACACATGTATGTGTAAACATATTGATGTCAGTATATTACAGGCCAGTTGAAGAGTGATTGTGTATACTTCTAGAGTTGTTGACCTGCAAAAACACTGAGTCAACTACTTCACATCCTTCAACTATTTGAACTCCGGTGTTAATACGTGTATTACCGAAACTGATAGCAGAGAGCTCTCTGGTATGGTGTTTTCATCAACTTGTGCAGTATATGTCTCAGAGCTGAATGCTGGTGCATTGTCATTCTGGTCTGTCAGTTCAATCTGTACTGTGGCAGTCCCACTGCGTTCACCGTCCGTTGCGACACAGGTGAAAAAATACACCTTCTGTCCCTCAAAATCTAAAGATGAATCTGGCCTGGTTGTTATCTCTCCTGTCATGCGGTCCATTGCAAATCTTTGAGGCAAAAAAAAGGTAGAGGATCAGGTTTTGCTGATGTTCACCATCACACTTTTAGTTTCCATGGCAAATTTAACTTGTGCCTAATCAGTATGTGTCAGTGGTCTTGAAGGACAAATGTGGGAACCAGTTAATGCTAACATGTTACGCTTGTTCAGGTAGGACAGAATAAAATTACAGATACTCATGATGATTAATATTGGTGTGCAAGGAACCTAGATAGGGCTATTTAGTGAAGATTTCTTTCTTGACAGACCGTACGTCTGCTCTGAGATTTTTCTAAAGTTCCATGCCAAGGTTGAATTTTATGGGGAAACAAAGGCCATGGACCCTGTTCAAAAGAGCTCCAAAGTTTCTTAAAAAATAAAGAGAAGGGCGATTTTTTACACAATTTATTTCTCTTCCTTTTTTAAAAGTGTATAAAATGCCCCAAAAAACGTACATGTATGTTCCTCCTATACAAAGGTAAAAAAAGGTTACACAGAAAGTGTGTTCACACTTTATTGGCACTTTATTGGCCCGTTCCCAAAGACTGCCCCCTTTGAAAAATTGGTTTTGAATCTGTCCTTGATCCATGGTAAATCATTTATCAACCTTTTACTTCTAATCCATGATCAATTATGCTCAGAGATTGAAGTGTATGTGGATATAACGGAGAAAGAAGGTTAACTTACTGGGGATTGTCTCCCAGGCCGAAGAGTTGATAAGTAACTTGACTGAAGGGTTCTGAGTCTGCATCCGTTGCCTACAATCAAATCCAGGTGGAAAAAAGACAAAGCAATGCAGTTAAGCTTTTACCTGGAATGAATAATGTATGCAAATACATAATTGTGATTGGTGTGTGGGTAATGACTTGTAATTGTTTTGAGTGAAGTACATATACAGATCTACGATCAAGAAACAAGGAACTTCTTACACCAAGGAAATGGTAAAATTTCAGGGTACACCTGTATTATGCAAATTTAAAAACCAGTGATGTTACTGCCAATGTGACAATGTGGCCACTGGTACATACATTGACATCACCAACAAAGACTCCTCGTGAGTTCTCCTGAACTTCAAAGCTGTACTGCTGCTGACTGAATGTTGGTGTTTCATCGTTTTGATCTGTGATGTTTACAAGGACACGGGCAACATCATACACAACCCCATCTCCATTCGTTGCATAAATCTGCAGAGACAAAGTGGTCTTGAATTTACAAGTTTTCCCAAAATACTGCTAAACATGTTTTCCCCAATTACCATTCTACACACAAGAGCATTTCTGAACAGGTGTACTCCCTTTGCATATGAGCAGAAAAGACATGTCACGAACTCAGTTTAAACTGAAAGCTGCCTAAGGGTAATGACAATTGATGATTAAAGCTTCTTACTCAAAAACGCAAATGCTATATTAAGAGACCTTAGCCATTAAACAAGTCAGCCAAGTCAGTACTATCTAGATCTTTTCTCGAATTTGCAGACTGCATCTTTACCATAAGGATACAACAGATTCCCTTTGTAATACTAATTAGAAAAACAACAGCATACCTCAAAATCAAGGTACTGCCTTCTCTCAAAGTCTAGAAGTGTGTTGTTTTTGACTCGCACATCAACAGTGGCTTCACCTCTTACGTTTTCATTTTGAATCCTGAAGGTATCTTTATCGGCTCCTCCAAGAAGTAATTTAAACTCATTATTTGGTGCCTGCAAAAGGAAAAAAAATTGGAAGTAAAGGTGGGATGGACACAAAAACCCAAATAATACGTCTGGGCAAAGAAAAGAACAGTAAACACTTCCCCTCCACAACCGACACTGCTTGAAACTTATCCACTGTCGTTAAAGAGACCAGGGCTTGAAATTAATGGGCGCAGGTAGCTAAAATGCACCCGTTTGTCTCAGAAATGTGCCTATAAATCATAATGACAGGCGCCTGTTTGATTCCATGTACCTGAACATATTTACCATTTGTATTTACATTTGTCATGAAAAATACCTGAACTTTTTGATTTCACTTGGATCAGCCTTGTCACCGAACCATAATACGGTACAATTTTCTTTACGATGTCACCGAGCGCACGCCGCAGTCTCGCATGTGATGCATGCACACACGTGAACATACACACATGCATACACGTACCCACGGCCAGTGACATGATTGTATGGAAACTGGCCCCTCATGTGTAAATTCAAGCCAAATGAGTGGATTCGGCTTAGACTTCAGTTTTGCTGGTTCCAGTCATAGCTTGAACATGTGATTTTGAACCATGCTTCAAAACAGCTGAAACCAGCAAAACCAAAGTCTCAGCCCAATCCACTCATTTCAAAAATGGTCGACTGCTGCAGTTAGTTTCCTTTTACGTCTGTGTGCATATGCACGTTATAAAGGTCCGGTGCTCGACTTTTTGTGTAGCGTTGTTAAGCACATGTTGGTTCCGGTTGGTCGTGTACTCACTGCTAGTAATAATTGTACGTCGCATGCAGCCCACAGAAATACACATGTAACAACTCCATCAAGGCTTTAATATCTGCTAAAGTCTAAGCCATAAGTTATCAGTGTCATTAATTTAAACAAAAGCAACAGCAAGGACCAGGGTCTTGGCTTTTTTTCTTGAACGTATGTCTTTCATATTGTATGGGAGCTACTTGCTCCCGTAAACTGACAAATTCAGCTGTCTAGGGAGCAAGTACTTGCTCCCATGATCATTAGCCCAATTTTGAGCCCTGAGGGGAATGACTTTATCTTACACCTCCTAACTCTACGCAAGAAGACAAATGCTTGTATTTTACAAGTGGAGTAATATTTAAATCTTTTATACCTGGTCAGTGTCAGAGACAGAGAGTTCATTCAGAGGCACAAAGCTTCCTTGGAGTGAGTTCTCTGGAAGTGATGTCCTTTCTGCCCGGGAGGAGAAGGTTGCATTTTCATCGTCTATGTCACCTACTTGGAAGGTAATATTGACTTCTGCAGAACTCGGCTGTACTTCTGGTGTACCATCTGCTCGAATTTCCTGGGCCTAAAATCGTGTTAAATGATATGTGTCACTGCATCTTTATAAAACTTTGTGCAAAGGAGCTCAATGGTTTTGGCATTCAACTATCACTCAAATCCAAAACAAACAGTTGTATTCTGTATGCAATCTAAAAAGACCCTGACATGTCAAACAAGGCAAATCCTTCAACTACATGTAAACAGCTCTTATATGAACATAAGTATCCCGTATGTAAAGTAAAAATTAGGATCCAAACTGAAATTCTATCGGCAGCCCATTTCATGAAATGTGGTGTATCTTGGTGCCATGTGTATTTAAGCCTAAGTGCTGAAGTTGTGCAATAAATGTGCATGTACTAACTGTCAATTTCAAGAAAAGTGGCTTAAAAAGTGCAACATTTTAATTACGTTAAACTTCTTCGAAGAGTAGAATCATGGCTTTTACAAAGTCATAAATGGTCATCGGATTACCTCCCCCGGCCATTTTGACAATATTTTTCCTTTTTCTTAACAAGTTTTTCATAACCTCCAGAGCCAAGATGTACATATCTCAGTTAAAACCTTGTGAAACTGAGAAATGATGTACCTTAACTGAACATAGTTAAATCATTTCCACTTTCTTTGGGTGCAACTTACGATAAGTAAATTGACTGGGGCAGTTACAGCATCATTTGTTGCACAAGTCATGGACTAATGCACTTTGGTGCAACTTTCATATGTGCAATAATTTGTTGCAAACTTATGTAATAAAATGTGGCATCAAACAAGTTATGATACTGCGAAAAGTTTTGTGAAATTGCCAACTGATTAATATTGCCTGTATCCCATAAGAACTGACTTAAGAAATATAAATTCATTCTCACCGTTACTGTGACAATATGTGATGACTTTGTTTCTCGATCCAACATTGCTTTAATGGTTATCTGGCCTGTGCCATTGTTAATTTCAAACTTGTCATCTCCTATGACAAAAACAACAGTAAAGTTATGATTGTGGGCTGGCAGCAAAGTGCCAAGGCAAGTGCACTCTTCATCTGTTTTGATAACTGGCTATTTCATAGAAAGTAAATTTTAGTCCAAAATGAAATGAGATGGGCTAGTTCTTACATTCCTCCTCCAAAGTGTGATACACAGCATAGAGCGCTGAGCTTTTTACAAATTAAGTAACTAATGATTAAATATACTTACACTTTTCCACTTTAAGTCAGGCAATAAGCATTTAAGAGCCTAGTTCTTACCTCCCACTAAGCTGTATTCAATTACATTGGGTGTAAAGACACCCCTGTCTCCATCTCTTGCCGTCACTCTTATAACTCCAAAACCCTGTCAATGACAAATAAATGAATCCAGATAAAAATCTGTAATTTGGGGAACAAATAAAATGTTAACACAAGGTGGAAAATGTTTTCTTCATATTCTGCAAAGACCTGAGAAATTATTCAAAGATCTCAGAAATATCCCAGTATTTGCAAGTTACTTGAATAAGGCTTCATAGTTGGTATTATTCAGAGTGTGGGCACTGCAAAGTGGGGGAGGGGGAATCTTATTATTTAGTGTCCCCTTTTGCCAAATAAAAATTGTAGGCTTTCATTCTACAAATCATAATAGCTATTTTAAATGCCTCCAAACTTGACAATGATGGCCACAAATGCTAAAAAAAAAAATTGGTAAAGTGGAGTGGTCAGAAATTGCCTCAGATCAGGCCACAGAGCATACTGAATCCCAGATGTTTTCACACGTAAGCAAGCCCTAAAACATGCTCACACACCCACACTTACCTTACATACCTACTGTGGACATTCCTTTCTTTTCTTGCAGTTTAGAAAACTCAGTGAAAATACTTGTTTTTCTTGAACTATGAACTCGATTTTCAGCAGGAATTTTGTAAAAGGTTTCCTTAACTGTTCCTCTTCTTTTTACGATGGATGACCCCTACCCCAGAAGGCCTCTAAACTTCTTTTTCAGAGAAGGGGAAACGTCTTATGGACATGTTTAAGTCCACAGAACTTCTTCCTTTCCTTTTTGTTCACAAGTGTACATTAGGTATGTAAGGTAAGCGTGCGCGCGCACACACACACCCTACACGGAAATGTACGGTATGTCCCCACTTTTCAAAAGTGATGATTGCTCTTAATTCAGAGGTTCCACTCTATCTGTGTTTGTTTGAAGCTTAGCCAACCCGGTACTTTTGTAAATTTTTCTTCTGATTTGAGGAAGAGGGAAGGATATAATACTCAGCCTGGTTTTTGAACCAGCCACGAATTTTTGCATCTCTGAGCAATGTGCAAACACAACAGTGCAAAATCCAGTGGTCAATCCTGGATAGATAAATGGCCACTCACCAGAGGCTCATCTTCAGTGATCTCACGGTCATAATTAGTTATGGTAAAGAATGGTGCTGTGTCTTGTTCATCTTGAACATAGACAATGACCTGGGCATAGTCATACCGTGGCTCACCAGATGGCTTCCCAGAGTCCTGAATCATTACCCAAACGAAAAGAAAAGAAACATTTTTATAATCTTATCCCTTTTATTGTCACATCCATTTTGTAATTCTTTCCCATGCAAAAAGACAAATGAAAGACAGTATAGACAGATAATTCATTCGTCAGATGAGTTCAGAGTCCATGGTTTCAAATGAAAAGACTAATTCATGTACACATAAACTTAACCTGTTCCACTAGGCCTACACGTGCATCAGTTATTTCAATACATGAGTCACTGCATTTGCTAAAAAGTTCTGAAGTGGTAAGAATTACTTGTCAAAAATCACTTTATACACAAAAACTGACATTAAAACATCAGTAACAAAAAGTTATTTTGTACTCACACTAGCACGGACACAGATTGTGTACTGTGTGTTGATCTCAAAATCCAGTGATGTGTTCACCTTGAGAGTGATATTGCCACTGATTGCATCAATTTCAAATAAGTCGCCATTGCACGGCCAGTCTTGATGATCCTGCAATTACGAACATTTCAAAATAAACATGTTCCACATTCGCAACCGTGGCTTTGGATGGTTTTGACAGTTATCGTTATCATTATTTATTCAACCAAAGCAAAATTACTGAGTTTAACAGAATGCATTAAAGCAAAACAAGGAAAATAAAATCACAACGCTGAACAAAGAATACAAAAGAAAACAAACAGGCAGACCCTGAGGCCATGGGCAAACAACAACTGTATACAATCATATGACACATGATTATGTGGGTCAGGACCAAAGATTATATAGTGCCGTGTAGCTGCGCAAGATGGGTTATTCAGCCGTGAAAGTGTTATAACCATGGGCACCATTCGAGTGTGAACGTTAAATGTGTGTGCGTGCCTGTCGTGGCGCCTGCGCCTGTGCATTAACATGCACTGCGCAGGCATAGTCCAACCAGAATGGTGCCCATGTGATAACAACACTTTACGCGTATTCACGGTGAACTTCCCCATCTTGTGCCGCTACGCGGCGCTATACGATCTTTGGTCAGGACTGCGCAAGTAAAATTACTGGTAACTACCAAGTCTGTTACCCGCAGGTATGCAGCTCGGCATGTACATTGTAACAAGTGACAAATAAACAATGAATGGACAGATTACGATCACAATTAAAGGAGACTTGTCTTCATGCCTCATGAGAAGAAACCTCCCTAGTTAAAACTTCAAACTTTACATCCCTTAAATACTCCAGAACCATGATAAGACAGCGTGAACAGTGACATGAGTGATGACAGCTGTTATATTCAACCATAAGTTTCCACAAGTGTACAAGGCCATAGGCCTATGTTAAAAAAAATCTGCAGCTGGCAAAAAAGATCATTTGATCTGGAAAAAGTCACAAGATACCTCCAAAATGTCTTCAATGATATAAAAATTGGTAAGAGTTCCATATACAAACACCAGGACTTATTTTCCTTCAACATAACAGCCATCAGAATGTGTCCCAATATTAATAAAATGGAAAATTTGAAAAGTGAAAATTCTGAAGCATTTACTTAGAAAACAGTCAAGTGGACATTTGGGCTACATCAAAGGTAATCTGGAAGCAGTGGAGTGTGGAACAAGATTTGATGGTCGTGTAACTGCTGCACGTGCACTGAGGAATGAACGTGTTGGATCCTGTGGTGTGCAGGGTTGCAGAATTGGCAGGAAACCTTGGGTTCGGGTATAGGAGACCCTTATGCCAATGGGGGAGGGCAACCCAAGGTTTCCCGCCAATTCCACATCCCGGCACACTCTCTGGAGGACGGCCAGAGCATCCTGGCTGAAACGTCAAGTTAACTTTCACCATGAATGATGTTCACCACTTCTTCTAAGAACCACACCTCTTCCAAAAGAGATTGATTCCATGGTGCACCCGCAAGTAAGCCTACATCCTATGTAACTTCCACCATGCTATTGCAAAGCTTCAAATCAAACAAAATTGTAAGTTTGTGCATAGATAGAGTTCCATAGTTATGATGGAGTAGTACTAGTACTAGTAGTAGGCCTAAACACACGGACAAAACATGAGTCCCAATAAATATAATTGGGACACATGCTGTCCGTCCATGGAACTCGTTCCCCAAACACTGTTACCTTGAGGTCTCAATACCGGATTGTGAATCCTCAATTTTACGTTCTGACCAGCCAGTGTGAAAAAAATGGCACTCAGCCTACCGCGCGGTCGGGGCCTACTTGATAATTCAAAGTGACGCGGGAACTAACGGAACCGGGCGGACGACGCGAGATAATCATGACACCCAGGACCAAAGATTGTAGCGCGGCGCTATACAATCTTTGCCCAGGACTCAGGAGTAAAATTTCGCGTAGTGTGCAGACAGCGCCCTCTACTTTTATACATGCTCTTAATTTGAGGGTGCAGACCACTAATTCAAGTGAGAATTTCTGACCAGCTCATTAGCATTAAAAGTGCCCCACAGTATCTTTTGAAAAAAGAGATTGTTTGGCCCCCAAAATGGTGAGATTGTGTAAATCGTC